TTCAATCAAATATGCACACTACTAATGTGATGATCTTCTAAATAAACAATTCCCTATTAGTTGTATTATGTATAACTCCCAAATATATATAACTATGTATTATATTGTTTATTTAAAATATTAACATACATTGCAATGGTAATGTTGTTAAAAAACCCTATTCGAGTCGATTTTAAAAAATGGCCCAATTAAGATATAACCAATATAACATTATGCAAGCCTTAAGATTTCGCTCATAACTGTCAGAAATGCTTGGACATCTATTTGCCAAATCTCGATTATTTCATAATTATATCTTAATCGGGTCGTTTTGAAAAATCGATCCAAATCGGGCTTTTAACACTCTGCAATGGTAATGAAAGATTAGATTATTAAAATAGCAACAGTATATAAGTTTTCAAATTAATTAGAATGCAGGACTTTTTAAATATACCGATTTTTTGATAGAAATACTAATAAATATATCATAAGTAATGAGCCATATAATATTTTGTATAATATGCTTAAAATAATAAAGCGCTTTATAAGATATTCATTTGGCAATTAAACCTTTATCTAATATGCAATCTAATAATTAGAGATATTCATAATTCGGGCTACAACACATTAGCATGTATTTGATTTGAAAAAGGCCCTTATAAATTTTTATCCGAAAATAGCCTGATAAAATAAATTTTGCATAAATTAAAATTTGTTAGATTTCGCATATAATATAAAGGCATATAAAACTATTTATACCTTATTGTGGAATTGATTTTCATATTGCTACTGCTATTTACTTATAAATATAATAATTAATAATATAAAAAAAGCATAAAATCGTAATTAGCAAATATAGGCTATATTTTCCCCCAATCTTATTCAATGATTTAATTCTTACATTTGCGGTGGAGATATGCTAATACTCTAAAAAAGCAAAAATGTCAACGAATTTTCTTTTGTAAAAATTTGAATTAAACAACCCACTTTTCTTGTGGTTGCCGTCAACGACGAACTTTTAGAATAATTCTATTAGTGAAAGAAGGCCTGTTGACGTTAATCATCATTATATTAAAAATTTGCTTAAAATGTGTTTTAACATGAGACATTATTTTAAAAAAATGATTAACCTTTACTTGGTTTTATTCAAAATCTTTATTTATAGTGAGTGACATATCATAGGCGTAGCCAGGATTTTAGTTAGGGGGAGGGGCACCATTAGATTAATTTTTTCCCTATCAATTTTACTGGAGATCTTTTAGATTTTCCTATTGCTGGCCTTTGGCTTTGTAACAATTTTTTTAAATAATAGTTTTGATTTTTTCACTTTTTTTAAAAAATATAAAAACGTCTTTTTTCTAAAAAATTTGAATTATAGTAATTATTTGAGAAAATTAATTGACTTTTACTAATTTTTATTCTTTTATTAGCTTAAAACACTCCGAAAAGGGGAATTTCCCTCCCCCCCCCCACCTCCGGCTTCGCCTATGTGACTTATTATTATTTTGGGGGGAAGAGAGGGTTAGGGGGGTGTGGGAAAGTTTTTTTATAGTTTAAGATGATACTACCAAAACAGGCATTTTAGAATGAGGAAACGTCCTTACATTTCCCCTTGGCTATGCCTATGATATACACCTTTTACCTTAAGATATGGAATTAATATTACTATATAGGCAAGAAATAACATTTTGAATGTGTAAAAAAGTTCAAAATTATCATAATTTTTTGTAAACGATCTTTGGCAACGTTCTATTTTTGGTTTGCTATCATTTATGGTTATCCAATAGAAATCTCAAACTCGAGAACTCTCTGGTGTGGCTATAGCCAATATCAAAATGCATTAAGAAATGGTAAAATACTATGGAATTTTAAATTTTTAGAATAGATATGCCGTTACTACTTCCCCTCTAATCATTTTTTACATGATAGAAAAAGGCACGCTAAATAGTTTTTTTATATTGCAGCATTCCTTCCCTCCTAGACTATAGACTATTCCTTATTTAACTCAACAATCAAATCGCGCCAATTTAAATAATGCATTTGTAATATATATTATTTACGTTTCAACAAAATGTTGTAAAATCCTCAATTTGGAAGCACTATTTTCAATTCATGATTAAAATTCTAAATATAAATAGCCAAAAATAAATTATCGAAATAATTTATAGATCAAGTTTTGATTATAGATAGCTGCAGCTTTATATTGCGGAAGTGCTGACTCCTAAAAAATAGGATCCCATAACATATTTGGTATTGTAGTGCTAAAAACGCTCCTTCTATTTTACATTTGATTCACTCGAGACCCAAAATTCTTACCACTAAGGGATATATTTTCTAGAAAAATAATATGTTTAAGAATCGTTAGTCGATATTTTAATATCCAATTGGGTGAGAGATAGAATAAAATGGGATATTGCGGTGGTAAAAAGATCAAATGTAGGCTCAAATTTTGGTGCAAGCGAGTAAGAGAATAGGATGGATGAAGTAGTGCAAGGTATTATAAGCTGGAAGTATAAGGATTTACATGATAAGATAAAATTTAATATTGATAAAGAGATTAACATTAGTTAAGAAGGGCAAACATTTATAGGAAATTAAGGCGAAATATATGGGTAGTGTAGAGATAGAGATGTGGGCCTGATAATATATTAAATAATATTTAATATCAATAAGATAATTTAGATTAAGTAAAATGGAACAAGAAGTTAAGATCTATGAAATGGAGTAGGAAAAGGGGTGGGGGGTGGGGGGAGGGGAACAAAATTAAATATTGATAATTATAGATAAGAATCAGGTAAAGGGGGGAATTAAAAGGTAAGGTCGGGGTATTGAATTTATATAAGATTAATATAAAAATTTTATTCCCTTTTTAATAGCAATATTTTATGCAGTTTTAAAGTAATCTTATATATTATCACTAATATTAAAATTAAATCTTATTTATCTTTTAAATAAGATTATGATTTTTTTTAAAGAATTTATAATATTATCAACTATAATAGGTATAATTTGAAACAAAACGGTAAAATATTTTAATTTAATAACAAAGATTTATCTTTACCATGATTCCTTTAGTATTAAATTTTTTTTATTAAGCTTAAAGGCTTCGCTAATTTGATTTAATTATACTCTAAGTATATATTCGTTGTTACTAAAAGGTGCTTAAAAAAAGAAATTTGGGTTTGTGAATGGTTTTTTTTCTTTCTTTCTTTCTTTCTTTCTTTCTTTCTTTCTTTCTTTCTTTCTTTCTTTCTTTCTTTCTTTCTTTCATTTCTTTCTTTCTATCTATCTATCTTTCTTCATTAAATATTTACTGACATCTCCTCCCTTTTTCTCTCATTTAAAAATAAAAAATATCTTCATAATTCTATTCTTACTATAAAATTATTCCATAGGGATTTGGAATCTCCTAATTTTAAATAAATTACTTCGAGCGTATTTTATATTAATCAGACCGGAAATGGATTCCAGTAAGTATAGAGTATAAAGGAGAAAAATCTTTAGGAATTGCGTAATAATTTTTCTGGGTGAAATATAGAGTTAGTAAACGAGCCGTTTAAACTACCAATAACATATGAATCACACTAAATTTATTTTCATATTTTTATATATAAATCCTTTCATTTAGATCGAAAAAAATTACCACATAAAAAATGAATGGAAAAAATTGTCTAAAATTCACGTGGTCCGGTCAAGTCAGCATTTCTAAATTTAAAAATTGCTATTAATAAATTCAGAATCCCCATGGATTCAAAATCCCAATACGTCATATATACGAGAATGATTTTAAATGAGCACAAAAATTCAAAAATAATACTAGGGTGACTAAAAATCCGGGTCCTAACGAGTGCACATATTAAATACTTTTATTATGTTTATACTTTAAAAGCAATTTGAACCAGGGACCCGTAGTGAAGCGTAACGAACCGCGAAACCGTTATAAACCTTTCTAAATTTCCGAACCGTAACCGTAACCGAACCGATATATAAAATTTATGAAGGAGTAAAAAGAACTTTTATATAAAAAAAAAGGTTAAACCGGTTTAAATAAAAATAAAATAAATAATTCTCTTTTTTTTTTACATTATTTTCCTTATGGTGTTATTACATATTTTACCATATCTCCGTCATTATTTTTAATTATTAAATGATCAAAATTGGAATTTAAAAATCAGAATTATATAAACTTGCTCTTATAGTACTTCCAGTTCCCGCACATGTTTCTGTAGAAAGGGCCTTTCCAGGGCTAAAATTTGTATTATCTTCATAACGAACAAATATGAATCCATTTATATTAGAAATTATATTACTTATACATTCAAATAATATATTTAAAAATGAATCATAATCTTATATTTTTTTTATATATATAATTCATAGATGCTTATAATATAAATAAATTAGTGTGGCAAAAATTTTAATAAATATTCATAATTAAAATCATCATACGATGGTGTTGCTAGAATAAAAAAATTTTTATAACCGTAATGAACCATTATAAACCTTCACAATCAGCTGAAGCGAACCTTTATAAATAACGGTTCGGGTCTCTGATTTAAACTTTTCAGTTAAAATTATTCCTGAAATAAATCCCTTTAAAAATTGTGATATTAATGAGGAAAATATCATCGCTTATGAAAATAATCATTTTTTCTGTAGGCTCGATTAAAATAAAATATAAAAAATAATTTTTTTTTTAACTAAGAACGCTATCTTAATTTCCACCAAATACCTTCTTTAAATAATTGCAAATTGCTAAACTGAACAAAATTTTATAATTTATACCAAACATTTAAATTATTTAAATTATCCTTAAAAAACACATTAACATAATGATTATATGAATATTATTGATTAGAATATTGTTATTTTTTTTTCTCATTCTAAAACAATGCCAGTATTACAAAATTACTCACGAATAACAAACTTTTTGGATAATTTATATTATTTATGTATAATAACATAAGTTGAAAAAAATTTATAATTTAATTTTTAAAATAAATAAAAATTTATTCTTATAGTTCAACCAGAAAATACCAAAATATTAATGAATCTAAGTTGAAGATATGTATAGATTTGAGTTTCCACGTTCGCTATTAATCCAAGATCTAAAATAATAACGATAATAATTTTGGTGACCATGAATTTCGAAATCGTTTTCGTTCTGATATCTATTCCTTATTGCGTCACAGACACTACATCAAAATACGCCTATCCCGTCCAAGATTTCGCGTTTATAAAAATACCAAGGCATCAGTCATTTAAAAGGGTTCTAGGGAAATCTGATACCCTTAAATACGATAAATTATTCACCACCACTGTATACGATAAAGATGAAATAGGCAAAGCTAAGTTGGATAAAGGTAACTTGTTATTTTTTGTTACCTTTGAATAAATTTTTTATTCTTAAACTCTCTTTTTTATTTACTTATATATCTGTTTTTAAGATGTTATAATAACCCCAGGCGTTGACAAAAGTTTCGCTAATTATTTGTATTAAATTTTTAATAATCCTCTTTAAAACGATAATAATTTTCACTTTATAAGTTTCATTGGAAGACATCACTAATTCTGTCTAATACTCTAAACTATCTTAAATTAATCATAAAATATGCAATCTCAGAAATGTTTCTTTGCTTAAATAAAAATAAATAACTATAAGACATTTACAAGTCATAGATTCTCCTAACATTGTTTTAACAATGACAGTCATTTAATTAGATTCTCTTCCTTTTTTTTATATATAATACATAATTTATCATCTCATAAAAAAAAAATTTTTTTTTCTTCAAAAAGTTAGAATAACAAGATACTTTATTACTTAATCGATATTTAATTTAAAATGTCTTCTTTTAAAAGTTATATTATCAAAATGTCGGGAAAATCATGAAAAAAGTGTGCGTCAATTTTTTTTTAGTATCCACCCATACTAATTAATTGATAATTTTTTAATAAAAGATATATTATTTTGTCCACATACTTAAGTCAAAATATTTTCGGAATAATATGGGCCACACACGGGGAAGGTTGTGTATATGGATTAGGTAATTGTTAGAAACTAAGTGATAAATTTTGTATGTAAAAATTATATATTATCAATAAAAGAAAGTAAATATATATTTTAAAAAAAATTGAACGTATAATTTCTGAAAATTTCATAAATTTTAAAATTGGTTACAAAATAGCTAATATTTCAACCTTAGAAAAATATACCCAAAAATACTCTCACTATCATTTATAATTTTATATTAAAAATAGTTTTAATTAGATGGTAAAAATTACTCACAAGAGTTAAAATAATAGACTAATTTTTTATGCAACCGCTAAGAAAAAAAGCATTCTGACCTGATTTTTGAAAATTTAAAAAGAAAAAAAATTAGCTTCCCATTCCAACCCGAACACGAAATTTATTCCATATTCCCTATCTTATTCGAACCAGTCCCGCAAAATCAAAAAAAAAATGAAAAATATTATTTTCTAAAATTTATTTATTCAAACTTGACCCTCCAGATAAAACAATTTCCTGACTCAACCAACCCCCGGAAAATATAAAATAATTGCAATTTCCTGATCCATTGGTTGGGATTTACAAATCTCTCTAGAATCAGCCAATGCTTATTACTTATAGCTCGATATCTATCATAAATAATCTTCATTGCTTTATAAACAAAATTTTTAAATGGTGAGAGGAGGGGGATGGGTGGGCGCAAGAAGTCTACGAATGGCAAAATTTTAAGGCCAAGTCCGGTTGGAATTTAGTTTTGAAGTTTTAATTTTTTTGCTTACTATGGTTACCTGGCCTCGTTTTTTTTAAATACAAGGCCTAACCCGAAATATATGAATTTGAACACCAAAATAAAAACTATTTATTTAATATTGGGTAATAAAATATACACTTTATGAAATTACCCCTTCTATCAAATATCAGAATAATCCAGCCTAATAATTTTTTCCCTTAGTCCGGCCTAAATAAATTTTTCCCGGTGGTCATCAGACCTCGACATATCAGACACAGGGGACTAAAAAAAAGGATTTTTAAGTATATTTGAGAATTGTAACAAATTACTAGTTAAATTGAAATAATATAATAATCAGAAAAATTATTTACCGATTTTTAATATTATTTTTTATTTTAATTCGAAAAATCAAATAGCAAAATTATATTTCTTGACCATATTGTTTTTTTTTGTAACAAAAAAAACACAAACTAATAATTTGAACTCTATCAGTATTTTTAAAAATCTGACTTTAAAAAGTGCTTCAAAAAACAAGCTGGTTGGTTTTACCATAATTTTTTTACTATCTTTTTTAATGTATCTTTCTTTTCAGGTGGATAAGATGTTTTATACATTAAAATATTGCAATGACAACAAATTTATTATTTTGTAATTTTTTTTTCAAGAACTAAGGTTTAATTTACAAGTGCTTTTATTGTAAAAATGTTGAATTATAAAAAAATATAATAAATATTATTACAAATTAATATATATTTTTTAAAAGTATTTGGTCCCCTGGTGTGAGAAAATATGGTATATTCATGAAATATGAATATTCAATGTTATAGATAAATAAGATACATATATGATTGATAGATTCAGTAACAATATGGCCCAAATTTTATAATATTTAGATTTTTGCACGTTTTGAAATAGCGGGGGGTGACTAAATATGAGGTTTGCTCTTTATTATCCCAAAATTCTAATATATATATTACTATAATATAAAAAGAAAATTGAGCTGACATAACTTTTTTACAAATATTATTAGATTATATATAAAATATTACTATTCATAAAACTATTAATTAATATACTATTACATAATTAATACCTATATTAATACCGTTTGTTAATACCTTGTCTTAGTGGTAAATCGTTGATTCATAATGCTTATTTCTAAATTGTCATGGTGGAAATTATTTAAGATCGTTTTATAATGTAATTTCTAATAGTTTTAATCATGATTTGTAAACCAAGATATCTTCAGATCTGGTTGAGAGTAACTAATATCGATTTTATATTTATATAATAATAGCCAAGAGACTTTCCCAAGGTGATGCACATCTATTTCGTGTATTATAAATATGCTTAAACAGGTTTTTTTTGAAATTTCATAATTTGACTCTTTAAATATTTAATCTGACTGAAAAATGTAGGGAACTTTTTTGGTACATTGAAACTTAGTAAAGTTGTTATATTTTTTAAAATGTGAAAATTTATAAAGAAAAATAATCATAAATGTATTACTAATAAAGATTATAGCAAAATTTTTAAAATGCACGAGGGCAAAGTATCTATTAGAGCTATATGAAACATTAGGACAATGAATGGCCTCAATGATTATTAACCCCCTTGGGGAAAATCAAGGCAAAAAATGATTCTCGTTAAATTCGTTCGGAGAAAAATGAAATTATAGCCAATGATGAGGATTCCCAATCATATAGTTATTTTTGGGACAAGTCTTATTTTCACAATTTTATGGCATTTCTAAATCAAAAATGTCCCAAATAACCCCGTTCTCCCATACCTTTTCTTTTATCTATCTATATCCATCAACTATAAACTTTCTCTAGGAAAAATATTAATTTTTTTTTTAAATATTATATCTCTACTTAACGGAAAGTTTCCATGACCTCGATCATGAACTTGATTAATAATTTTGATAACATTAAGGAGAAAGATAAAAAAAATATATCTGGCTTGTATAACTTTCCAATAATTTTTTCAGTTGATGGGACACGCTATCCACTATTTTATCTGTAATTTCAAATAAAATCATGGGGAATATTATGTTAATTGTCATTGTCAAAACACAGTTTTGTTTTAACTTTATTTTTTTTTCGAGGGTTATTCCGAATTATTAAAAGACACGTTCTCTCATGCATATTATAATTTAAAGTAATGCGGTTTATAATTTTAAAAAATTATTAACAAATCTCCTAAAACTATTCTATATAAACTATTATTTATTTGAAAAAATATTTGTTTCTCCTAGATTAATCATCTTAATGGAAATTCATATTTAAGGGAGGCACACGCCATGGGCGTATCCAGCATTTTGCTAAGGGGTTAGGGCACTTTTAGACGATTTTTTCCCCAGGAATTTTATTGGATATCTTTAGGTGCACTTATTGTAGATTTTTATAAAAATAATTTTGGGTTTACACTTTTTTTAAAATTGAAATCCTTTTTTTATAAAAAAATTTTGAATTATAGTTTAAAAAGTTATTAACTTTTACTAGTTTTTCTTTTCAAATACTTCCTTATAATTGTATATTATTAACTTAAAGGATATTAACAAAAACAAGCAAATTTGAGATGTGGGGAAGGGGGGGGGGGAGGCATTGGTTATGCGCCGCATACATTTATATTATCATTTATTTTATATACTTTCTCTTTATGAATTATAGCAATATAACTGCCATCCTAATTTAACCATAAAAATGCCTGTAGCAAAAATATCACTGGATTTGTAGATAAAATACTTTTCAATATGAATTCAACTGATTATTTTTTATTAAAGTGATTTAATATTTTTAATTTGATAATAACCTAATTATGCCATGGGTATCCTGATGTTAATTTAGATAAAGACCAACATGAAAAAAAAAATCAATAAAACTAATTAATTAAAAGAAAGGAATAAATAATTTAAAAAGACATATAGTAATATTATTTATATATAATGTATTTCATCTTAAAAAATTATATAACAATTTTTTTTAAAGTATATTTGGTCATTTCAAATTATTTTTCATCCATATTTGAGAAGAGGCAAATGAAATCATTTACTTGTTTCTAGGTATATTCAAAAACTAATACTATTCTTATAGGAGATTGGGGAACATTATAACACATTTTATAAAAATGTGTTTAAAATTTTGAGACAATGATCGACTAATATCTCAAACGAAGGTTGAGCAAACTCCTCTACAGATGTAAACGATAAGTTTACAAAAAATAATTTTAGAGTTTTTTAATATTCTTGTTGCCGCTAAAAAAAAAGCTGGCATGGCAGAGTTAGTTAAATAGAAAGCATGATATGTTGAAACAAGTAATAGTAATGATTTTAATACGCTAGGAGAATGTTTTTATATATCATGCATTTATAAAGAAAAGAAGCAAGAATATAATAAGCAGCATCTATAAAACATTAGTATGGTTCTTTATTTTTTTTAAAATATTATATCTTATGCCATATTGATTTTGAATTAAAAATTGCAAAACGGAAAAATATCGGTGATAGATATAAAAAGTTCCTATCTGTTCCAACGTGCCCCTGTCTATATTTATTGCAAAATCGAGTATTAATAATATAATCCTGATCTTGATATTAAAAACATATGTTTTGTAACAGAAGCTGG